CAGATGAAGTCGAAGAAGAAACAGAAGATTCTGATGATGTTGAGGAAACTGTTGATGACTACCTATTGTCGAGAGATAGGCAAAGAAGAGTCATAAAACCACCTCAGAGACTTGGATATGCAGATCTTGTAGCTTATGCCTTAATCTCTGCAAGTGAAGTTCTAGACGAAGAACCTAGAGATTATAAGGAAGTTATAAGGAGTCGAATGAAGACTGAATGGCTAAAGGCCATGCATGATGAGATGAAATCTCTCCATGATAATCACACTTGGGAACTAATCAAGAAACCTGTTGGGGCAAGGTTAGTCAGCTGTAAGTGGATTTTCAAAGTTAAGGAAGGAATTGAAGGAGTAATGTCGAAGAGGTACAAGGCAAGATTAGTCGCAAGGGGTTTCACTCAGAAAGAAGGTGTCGACTTCAATGATGTATTTTCCCCTGTTGTGAAGCACATATCCATTCGAATGTTGCTTGCCATGGTGGCTCAGTTCGACCTTGAACTGGAACAAATGGATGTGAAGACTGCGTTCTTGTATGGTGACTTAGATGAAACGATCCTGATGAGGCAACCTGAAGGGTATGTCGAAAAGGGGAAAGAAGATTATGTGTGCAAACTGAAGAAATCTTTATATGGACTTAAACAATCTCCTCGACAGTGGAATAAGAGATTCGACAAGTTCATGGAACACATAGGTTTCATTAGAAGTCAGTTCGACCACTGTGTTTACTCCAGATTTCGACCTGAAAATTCATTTGTTATTTTGTTGCTTTATGTTGATGATATTCTGATAGCAAGCAACAATGTCGAAGATGTAATAAGGGTGAAGGCTGAACTCAATAAGGAGTTCGACATGAAGGATCTGGGAGCTGCATCTAGGATTCTTGGAATTGACATTCGAAGAGATAGAAAGCAGTCGAAATTATGCTTATCTCAAGAGGCATACCTACGAAAGATTCTTGACAAGTTTGGTATGTCGAATTCAAAGCCTGTTGTGACTCCAACAAACCCTCAATTCAAGCTGAGCATTGATCAATGTCCCAGTACTGATGTCGAAAGAACCTATATGAACAGCATCCCATATGCTAATATAGTTGGTTCTTTGATGTATGCTATGGTCTGTACTAGATCCGACATAGCATATGCAGTAAGTCTTGTAAGCAGGTACATGGCGAATCCTGGAAAGGCTCACTGGCAAGCGTTAAAGTGGATTCTAAGGTACATAAATGGGTCTCTGAACAGAGTCTTAATTTATGGTGGAGCCTTGGGTGAAGATAGTAAAGCAGCAGTCGAAGGCTATGTTGACTCTGATTATGCAGGCTGTATGGATTCCAGAAAATCTATTTCTGGATATGTTTTCACTATGTTTGGTACAGCAATTAGTTGGAAAGCAACTCTTCAGAAGGTTGTTGCCTTATCAACTACTGAAGCAGAATATATTGCCCTAACTGAAGCTGTGAAAGAAGCATTGTGGCTTGAAGGTTTTGCAAAGGAGCTGAAACTTCAAGGTCAAGGTATCACTGTTAAATGTGATAGTCAAAGTGCAATACACCTGTCGAAGAACTCAGCCTATCATGAGCGAACCAAGCACATAGATGTGAGGCTGCATTTCGTCAGAGTGGTAATCGAGCGTGGAGAAGTCCAAGTGCTGAAGGTCTCGACAGATCACAATGCTGCTGATATGATCACCAAAACATTGCCAAGTTACAAGTTTTTCCACTGTATGCAGTTGATAAAGCTGCATGAAGAAAGCTAGTTAGTGTCTCTTGATGCTGTAGAGTTAGGTCCAAGGTGGAGATTTGTGGGATTTTGGATCGAACTCTAGTATGATCGAAGTACATGCTGTAGTCGAAGAAGGGTCTAGCATGTATTTGTCGAAGAATGCTTGTTAAATTAGGTTTTAGTGTTTAAACCCTAATTTGTTAAGTTAGCTTGATTATTAAGTTAGCTTGTATAATGGGCCTTGTGAAAAAGCCCATTAGTTAGTATGTTAGGTTTTATTATAAATAGCATACTAGTCTCTCATCATTGCATCACAGCAAATCCTAATTTAGGGTGAGAGGGTTATTTGTTATTCTTGTAAACTTGTAATCTTGTTTTCTAAGAGAAAGTAAAGAATAGCAGTTATAACCAATTCTTGTGTTCTTCTTCTTCCTTGTTTGATATTCCTCCCTTATTTCTATACTTTGTTATTGGCATTGAATTCACAACATATATATATATATATATATATATATATATATATATATATATATATATATATATATATATATATATATATATATATATATATATATATATATATATATATATATATATATATATATATATATATATATATATATATATATATATATATATATATATATATATTTAAAAATAATTTAACAATGATATATAAAAAAAGATTATATTAAATATTTTAAGAAGATTATATAAAATATATAGTATGTTGGTTAGAAATCATTCTCAATTTGTTTCACAAAATTTCATATCATCCAAGAACAACCAACTAATTGTAGTGGAATATAACATGGATTAATTTGTATTGAAAACATTCAATATATTGAATGAGAAATGAGCGGAGCCACTTATAATATTTTACAAAATATAATTGATTGTTGTGATTATTTATATTTTTATCTCACCTAAATTATTTAGAGTCAATTATTTTATCGAAAATAAAATTTTTATTTATTTTTATTTTCACCAAAATTTATCATTTTTTTGTCTATAAATAGAGTCGCAGTTCATTTAATTTGGACAAAAAAATCTATTTTTTGTCTCTAAATTTTCTATTTAACCTCCAATAAATGATTGTTTATAGCTCTAAACAATTTTTTAGTGAAATGAATCATAACAATAACTCTCTTATAATAAAAAAGACAAAAACATAAAAAGAAAAATAAAAATATGAAATAAAAGTGGTGAGATAAAGTGTTGAATTTAATTAAACAAAACTATTGTAGTGAGTAAAAGTTAAAAGAGTGTTGAATTATTAGGTGGAAGAGAGAAGATGATGTGGAGTGTAAAAAAAAAAAGATGTCAAATAATTTTGTCATTGAGTGTATTTAAATGCATTTAAATAAAAGTCAAACATAAACATCATTACTCATCAACTTCATCCCTTAGTGTATTTAAATGGGATTAAATAAAAGTCAAACATTCCTAGAAAATAAATTTTTTGTTTATTTTTATTTTAACCAAAATTTATCATTTTTTTTTGTCTATAAGTAGAGTCTTAGTTCGTTTGATTTGGACAAAAAAAATCTATTTTTTCTCTCTAAATTTTCTATTTAACCTCCAATAAATTATTGTTTGTAACTCTAAACAATTTTTTAGTGAAATGAATCCCAACAATAACTCTCTTATAATAAAAAAAAACATAAAAATAAAAATAAAAATATGAAATAAAAGTGGTGGGATAAAGTGTTGAATTTAATTAAACAAAACTATTGTAGTGAATAAAAGTTAAAAGAGGGTTGAATTATTAGGTGGAAGAGAGAGAAGATGATATGGAGTGTAAAAAATGAAAAAAAATGGATGTCAAATAATTTTGCCATTGAGTGTATTTAAATGCATTTAAATAAAAGTCAAACATAAACATCATTATTCATCAACTTCATCCCTTAGTGTATTTAAATGGGATTAAATAAAAATCAAACATTCCTAAAATTCTATCCTTAATTGCAACTGTCACAATTTTCAAAACCTATGATAAATATAATGAAGGACAGTACACCACTGCTAAACTCTAACAGTCCATCCTTAATAATACAACCTTCCAAAATTTAAATACTCCTAAACTACAAAAAGCATTGAAGCTCATTATATAGTAAAAAGAAATAAAATATGCATCTTAAGCGTACGAGTCAATACAATATCAGGCCCCGGATTTGTTTCCAGTGATTTCTGGTAAACAACCGCTAGTCTTCCAAACTATCGAATAAACTTACTGACTGTTATTCAATTTCTCTGGTAACTCACAGGATCGACTAGATTGATCCTAGGATTCCTTGGTCGTTTGGGTAACTCTCATGATCGAACAGATATTCATAGTTGGTCTTTGAGTGTTGTATATGTGTTTGGCTTATTTCGATTTCTCTCTTAAAGATCTAAAGGTGTAATCAAAATATGCGTGTACGAAACTAAATTGCATGAATAAACGTTAATTGTAAAGACATGTAAAATTGCATAAAAGGCAAGTAAATGGCTTCGAATTATAAAAACAGTTAATGTAAAAGATGCTCTAGAACGTAAAAGATTTGAAATACGAAGAAAGCGTTTAATGCAAGAAATCTGTAAATGACTTTAAGTAAAAATAAACTTTCGAAAGACAAAACTTGAAGATAAAGGCATGAAAAGTATGACAGTTTTCTGAAATGTAAAGTGCTTGAAACGTAAAGAAAGCATTGAAATGTAAAGCTTTAATGAAGAGATTTCGAAATAAAAAGACTTTGAAAGAGAAAACTTGTAAATGTTATTTGGCAGAAAGATGAAGGAAAGTGCTGGAAATGATAAAAGGTTTTCATTAAATCATAAATATGTGGTGCTATCATACGTACATTGCTCTTGCATTCGTTTCCCTTGCCATGTGGTAATTTGAATGTTACTGAGTATTTAGTACAATAGATATGACACACGAAATCCTAATACTAAGACTTCTATTTATACTAATTCGACCATAATGGTCTTGCTATAGGATTATGCCACGTTCAGAACATGCAGAACAATGCCTCTCTCTTCTTTCCACGTGTCTCCAAATGCTCCAGCACATAAATTTCAAACTTCGAATGTCCCGCTTCCATTTGAATTTCAAATGCTTTGGTACTTCTCCGTTTCGAACGCACTTCTCAGACACAACCTCGTTGTTATTTCGAGACTTCTTTAGATATGTTCCCATAATCGCCACTCGAAGCTCAAGCTTTGATATGCTTATTCGAAACACTGCTTCTGCTACTTCAAAACATGACCAATTTGTTTCATTTCGATCGAAACGTTCAATTCACTTGGCTTCTAATAATATTATCAAAATCTTCAGCCAACAGGATTGAGGTTGGTTCCTGCTGTATTTCTCATATCTTCGAGAGACACCTTCGTTAACTAAGGTGTCCCATAACTTCAACATAGCTAGATATTAGTATCAATTTCGAAGAGGGAACTATTGAGAATACCAAAGTTAAAGGTCTTCTCTTTTCACTTACTTCTAATTTTACCTTTGAGCCTCCTATTGCCAACAAGAATGGGTTGTCCTCTGCGAAAGAGATAGAAAAGATAGACCCCTAACAAACACCGAGAGCAAAAAAACCGTCAGTGCCAATTCAACAAAAGACTTCACGATTCATCAAATATGGACTTACAACTTTTGGTTCTTTCGTTGCGACACAAGATGGTTGGTTGTTAGAAAAATCCCATAGTTTTACCTGAGACAAATAACAGAAGTAAAATAAGATGAATACCAATCTGCAGCATACGGTATTCAGGAAAACAACAAATTTGACATCACTATTACCGTTTTATCCGTGGATCCAGTAGCAAGAAGCTGCATGAGGCCGGGTCAACAGGGAAAGGTCAAACTAAAGGAAATAATAAGATTGTAATAACACAGAAGATTTGAAATACATACATTCGGAGCTGACATATTATAGGCTAGGGAGGTAACAGATTTGTCATGTGCATGAAGTGTAAAAGTAGCACTCTGCTCAGATGTGGCATTGGACATGGCATTTCGGACATCAAAACACTTGATGGTACCATCTTCAAGACTCACCTAACAGGACAATTAAATCATGATTAGTAAACATTCATCTAACAGAAAAAGAATTGGTTAATAAATAAATAAATAAAACATAAGGGGAAGTTAGTATAATATCTTTATCAGAAAAGAAAAAAGAGGCTAGTTTGTTTAATTTATCAGATATTTAAAGTAAAATTAGTTCACAAGGGACATAAATTATCATAACACACCGCAAAAAGGTTCTCAACGTGTGGATCCCATGCCAAGCTCTCTACATCAGCACCGACTGACCACGTACAGCCTGAGTGTGACGGATTCCTTATAACCTTCTGCAAGTTTAATATAACTAAAACCATTAAATTGCTGAAATCTTAAATAAAAATTAATACTTCTGAAGTATAATAAGTAATCAGTACTAAATATAAAGGCCAAGTAACAAGAAAACATAGGATCATTACCAAAACAACTGTATGATCAAATGCGCCACTAAGAAGAACATGTTATCTATGATGATTCCAAGCAACTGCTTGAACCTGTGAGGATAATTGAAAGGCATCAGCAAAAACATTGACTCAAACAATTTTAATTATTCAATGATGGGAATTTAAAGAATATTGCATTTTACAATTTAACTAAAAAATATGTCTCATCTTTTTCCTTATCAAATATATGCATTGTAAATTGATTCTTACCTTGTCAGTGTGATGCTCCATTGTAAGAGTACACTTTCTAGCGACGACATCCCAAATTTTTACGCTTTATTCAGCACTAGCATTTGCAAGTAGATTGCTGTAATTTTTAAGAATATTTGTCAAACTTGAGGTGTCAAGGAAGGGAGATAAAAAAATTGTAAAAAAAACCATTATGTTCCATGAAAGCGGAGCGCAGAGAAAATAAAGCAAATCCAAATCTAACAAACCTGAACTCCTTTTTCCAAGCAAGACCAAGTACTGAGCCAGTGTGACTGTCCTCTCTGTATTTTATTGATTTCTTTTACGAAAGAAATTGCAAAATCACTTGAAGAGATTCAAATGATAGATTGAAATCAAATTTTAATAAAAAGAAATTGCTAAAAATATCTGTTTTAAATCTAAAAGGATTAAATACAATAATAATGAGAGGAGTAAATCTAGCTTAAAAAGCTTCTGTTGGGATATACAATTTAGTAAGCAAGTAACTTTATGTTGATTGATTAACAAGGATGTATAACAAACCTTTTTCCCATGTTTCCCCTTTTTGCTTTGCCCTTTGCCACCTAACACCACACATGGTTCTACCTCATCAATCTGAGAACAAAAGAAAATTACAACATATTCTGCACCCAAAAAAACCCTCCATTTGAGCTTAGGAGCTTTAGGATAGTGCAACAACATTTATACAGTTACAACATCAAGATCCCAAATTTCTATCGATGGTCCCATTGAACCAACGGCCAAGAAGTTTCCTGTTATCATTACGAAACAATTTTAAGATAGTAAGATGATGCAAAGGTTGAATCTTAAACATAAATTGCAACAATCTAAAACATAAAGCATCAATCTCCTTATTTTTTACCAAATCGTTATTCATAACTTAAGTTTGTTAATCTCCTTGTGTTATTCATATTTCCATTAACCCATACATTTACTAGAAAAGAAACAGAAGATAGAATGACTGAATAGCAAAAAACATTACAAACCATCCATCTACACATATGAAGCAAAAAACTCATAGGGTTCGAACCTTTTCTCCTCCCTTAAGGGGACAATCAAGCCAAGCCGTGCAAAGTGGAAATTCCGGAATAATAATATCATGGTGAATATACAAGTTCATATCACGGGTATTGGCATCCTCAAGTATCCAAACCTGCCAAAGCCAACAAAAGTGTGTGATAAATCTAAAAAGTAATAGTAAAAATATGACCAAATGTGTCATGCACTCTTTTTAGTTAAATGATTATAACAAGTTAGTCCTATAAACACATTCTTTACAAAAAAAAGCTCATTATTTACACTAGGTTATGGAAATTAAGTACTTAGTTCATCTTAATGTAAGTCTACATGATCTAAAACTACGTCTAAAAACATCAATACACTTGAAACCTTCAAAATTTTGATAACATAAAACTGCATCCAAATTTACACATGCTATCTTGCCCCTCTTCTAGAGGCACATTAGACATTCATGTGCATGCATGTGTTTTTAGTGATTATGCAGAATTAGTAATAACTTCATTTGAATGGAAAAATTGCTTTTCAGAAGAAGTAAAAAACAATATTTTGAGCATTTTGCATATAATATGAGCCTCTAAACGTCATTCATAAAATCACAGGGTATATGTTTCTATACAAACTACTTTTCAGTTTGGATATCCAAAAGTTTCACAAATGAAGTAATTTTAAAAGAACCCAAGCAGCAACCCCATTGGATACATTTAAGGCAAACACTCTTGTACCCTTAAATTTAGTTGACTTCGAATCATTCATAGCCTCTGAGATGCCGAGAGACACAAAAGACATACATGTAGAAGGGGTTGATGATGTACATGTAGGATGCGCTAAACATACTGCTGAAGTCACATAATGTATAGTATAACATAAAACTAACTTACTTCAAGGTAATTGACATCGTCTTCCGTACGCGCACAAACAACAACAGAATCGGTTGGATTAATAATCATGTCTTCAACATCTTCAGAATCATACTCTTCCTAAACAACATATAAATGATACAGAAATCAGTAAACAAATCAAATTAACCTAAGAATACATTAAAGTGTTTAAATTTATCTCACATTCTTATATTTGATATATGGATCTAATTCATTACTCTGATAATAAAGATCACCCGTCCCTGAACTGAACAACTCAAAACCTAACATCAATAGAAAAATCAAACATAATTAATTACGCATCCTGACACTACCACGACAACACCGATAATAGTTTAAAAAATGAATAAATTAATCGTAATAACAACTAACACAGACACGTTTCTTTTCAAAGGTGTCGGTGCTATATTAAAAAGACACCTTTATCATCTTCATCATCATAGGTTTCCATGTTGAGCTCTTGCAAGGCGAGGGTAATATCGCCAGTATTTTCCTTGGATGGTTTACCAATTGCATCAGCTACTGTTAAAGCATGTGCAACTTCATCGTCTTCTTCCATATCCTTCTCTTCATCCACACTGCAATAATTTTATACAAGAGAATGTTAATGTTAATGTTAATTATTGATTATTGATGGTGATTGGTTAGTGAAAAGGAACAAACTCACGCGTGTTTGAGATGAGTTCATCGATTTCCTCTTTGGAAGGGGGTTCGGCGAAAACAGGTTCCGCTTTGAAGACTCCTTTAGGAATCCATGAAATTGCGGCGATCATGGCTCTCTGATTCTACCGCAGAGTGAAAGGTAGCGGTGATTGGCTGGCAGCGGAAAACAAACAGTGTAACCAACAACAAATGAAGCTAAACCCTTTTGATTAATTTTTCATTATTTATTTATCTCGTAAAAAATAGTACATATTTATTTAGACACAATTGTTTAGTGAATATATAACAGTATAACTCTACAGTATAACTCTGAAGCTGTTATATATTTCAACACAGGAGCTGTTATATGTTTTTAACTTCTGCATTGAGTAATAATTAAGTGAATGCGTAAGATAACATGAATGAAAATTATCAAATAAGTTTGAGAGCATGCTCTGTATATGGTAAAGTTTGTTGCATAAAATTGCATATATTTACCTGTAAACAGCCAAATTAATAGAAAACTAGTATAATGTTACAAACATAATCTAACTCCAAAAACTAGTAAAAGAAATTTAATTTTGTTTAAATTAATAGTATACATTCAGCAAGAATCCTCTTGATAAGAAATAGCTCTCATAATTTCAATAGTTACGTTCAAACCCCACCAAGAATCAGCAACATGGATTCAGATTTCAAAATATAACAAAATGAACAGTGCCAATACATGAAGACAATAATACATAACAAAAAGAACAATGCCAATACATTAAGACAATAATACAAGAACAATCACAACAATATAACAACATGGATTCAGATTTCAAAATATAACAACAAGAAGAGTGCCAAAATCCGAGTAGTCTGTTAATCAATCTCATAATTTCGTTAATCAAATTTTTATATTTTATTAATTAATTTTATTTTATTATTAAAAATTATTTTTAAAATCTAAATATATATTAAACAATTTCATCATTTAATTAATCAATTTTTTATATTATTCACACACGTAAACAATATTTATGTATGTATTGGTGTCAAATTGTGATGTAGGAATAACATTTGTGATATTTACTTATGTTCACAATTGACTCTGCCGTTCACAATTGACTGCCGTTCACAATCTCTCCGACATCTCCGATCTCTCTCCCATCCCTGATCACATCCTCCTCGATCTCTTCCTCGTTCGTACCTATTCTTATTCTCACCTCTCTCTCTCTCTCTCTCTCTCTCTCTCTCTAAGTCTCTCTCTCTCTCTAACTTCATAGGTAGTTAACCCTTTCTCAGATTTAGGGTTACGGTTAGGGTTAATGATCCATTTCAATTACTTTGTTGTAGTATTGTTATAATTACTTATGTCTAATTTGGAGATGCTGTATTGTTGATCTGGTTTCAATTTTTTGTCGTCTAATCTTTTGTTTGTTGTTTTGTGATTTCATGATTTTTCATGTCCAGAGAATATTGAAAGCAGGAAAACTGACTGAAAAAGTTCTCAAACTGTTTGTAGCAACCGGTAAGGACGAAGTTATCTCACTTGTCCAGGCATTGAATATTCGACATATTGTCACCCCTGTGCTTCCTACCAGTGAGTTGTTTTATATTTTTAGATTGTATTTATGGATTTAATTGTCATTTTAGTAGTTGAAATTGCAAGAGTTGCTCGCTTTAGTCTCTCGAGTTTGTAAAACAACGGTTTTAGTTTCTTCAATTAGAAATTTCAATCAATTCAGTACCTCCATAAAAATATTTCTTTCCTAAACATTAGTGACTTAGGCTATGTTTGGATTGATGGAATGCAATGAAATGGAGCGGAATGGAATGGAATGGAATAAGGGTATGTTCCTTCATTTGGATTGATTAAATGAGGATGTAATGGAAATGAACATGATGGAATACATTCTATCCAATTCTATTAATTACACTCATTTTTGTGATTTGGGCTGAATACCATTTTTGTTACATTCCATCCTAAAATATCCAAACAATGGAATGAGATATTCCTTATGATCTGCTATGTTCCACTCCGCTTGTTTTGAAATATCCAAACATAGACTTAAATAGTCTTTTGCTGCATCATAACAAGCGTAGAACCTTTAACATTTTAGTACGAAATATGAGAAAATGACTAAATTTATTAAATAATACAAGAACTCTTGTTGTTATATTTTGAAATCTGAATCCATGTTGTTATATTGTTGTGATTGTTCTTGTATTATTGTCTTAATGTATTGGCACTGTTCTTTTTGTTATGTATTATTGTCTTCATGTATTGGCACTGTTCTTTTTGTTATGTATTATTGTCTTCATGTATTGGCACTGTTCATTTTGTTATATTTTGAGATCTGAATCCATGTTGCTGATTCTTGGTGGGGTTTGAACTTAACTATTGAAATTATCAGAGCTACTTCTTATCAAGAGGATTCCTGCTGAATGTATACTATTAATTTAAACAAAATTAAATTTCTTTTACTAGTTTTTGGAGTTAGATTATGTTTGTAACATTATACTAGTTTTCTATTAATTTGACTGTTTACAGGTAAATATATGCATTTTTATGCAACAAACTTTACCATATACAAAGCATGCTCTCAAACTTATTTGATAATTTTCATTCATGTTATCTTCCGCATTCACTTAATTATTACTCAATGCAGAAGTTAAAACCATATAACAGCTCCTGTGTTGAAATATATAACAGCTTCAGAGTTATACTGTAGAGTTATACTGTTATATATTCACTAAACAATTGTGTCTAAATAAATATGTACTATTTTTTACGAGATAAATAAATAATGAAAAATTAATCAAAAGGGTTTAGCTTCATTTGTTGTTGGTTACACTGTTTGTTTTCAGCCGCCAGCCACCCACCGCTACCTTTCACTCTGCGGTAGAATCAGAGAGCCATGATCGCCGCAATTTCATGGATTCCTAAAGGAGTCTTCAAAGCGGAACCTGTTTTCGCCGAACCCCCTTCCAAAGAGGAAATCGATGAACTCATCTCAAACACGCGTGAGTTTGTTCCTTTTCACTAACCAATCACCATCAATAATTAACATTAACATTAACATTCTCTTGTATAAAATTATTGCAGTGTGGATGAAGAGAAGGATATGGAAGAAGACGATGAAGTTGCACATGCTTTAACAGTAGCTGATGCAATTGGTAAACCATCCAAGGAAAATACTGGCGATATTACCCTCGCCTTGCAAGAGCTCAACATGGAAACCTATGATGATGAAGATGATAAAGGTGTCTTTTTAATATAGCACCGACACCTTTGAAAAGAAGTGTGTCTGTGTCCGTTGTTATTACGATTAATTTATTCATTTTTTAAATTATTATCGGTGTTGTCGTGGTAGTGTCAGGATGCGTAATTAATTATGTTTGATTTTTCTATTGATGTTAGGTTTTGAGTTGTTCAGTTCAGGGACGGGTGATCTTTATTATCAGAGTAATGAATTAGATCCATATATCAAAGATAAGAATGTGAGATAAATTCAAACACTTTAATGTATTCTTAGGTTAATTTGATTTGTTTACTGATTTCTGTATCATTTATATGTTGTTTAGGAAGAGTATGATTCTGAAGATGTTGAAGACATGATTATTAATCCAACTGATTCTGTTGTTGTTTGCGCGCGTACGGAAGACGATGTCAATTACCTTGAAGTAAGTTAGTTTTATGTTATACTATACATTATGTGACTTCAGCAGTATGTTTAGCGCATCCTACATGTACATCATCAACCCCTTCTACATGTATGTCTTTTGTGTCTCTCGGCATCTCAGAGGCTATGAATGATTCGAAGTCAACTAAATTTAAGGGTACAAGAGTGTATGCCTTAAATTTATCCAATGGGGTTGCTGCTTGGGTTCTTTTAAAATTGCTTCATTTGTGAAACTTTTGGATATCCAAACTGAAAAGTAGTTTGTATAGAAACATATACCCTGTGATTTTATGAATGACGTTTAGAGGCTCATATTATATGCAAAATGCTCAAAATATTGTTTTTTACTTCTTCTGAAAAGCAATTTTTCCATGCAAATGAAGTTATTACTAATTCTGCATAATCACTAAAAACACATGCATGCACATGAATGTCTAATGTGCCTCTAGAAGAGGGGCAAGATAGCATGTGTAAATTTGGATGCAGTTTTATGTTATCAAAATTTTGAAGGTTTTAAGTGTATTGATGTTTTTAGACGTAGTTTTAGATCATGTAGACTTACATTAAGATGAACTAAGTACTTAATTTCCATAACCTAGTGTAAATAATGAGCTTTTTTTTTTTGTAAAGAATGTATTTATAGGACTAACTTGTTATAATCATTTAATTAAAAAGAGTGCATGACACATTTGGTCATATTTTTACTATTACTTTTTAGATTTATCACACACTTTTGTTGGCTTTGGCAGGTTTGGATACTTGAGGATGCCAATACTCGTGATATGAACTTGTATATTCACCATGATATTATTATTCCGGAATTTCCACTTTGCACGGCTTGGCTTGATTGTCCCCTTAAAGGAGAAGAAAAAGGTTCGAACCCTATGAGTTTTTTGCTTCATATGTGTAGATGGATGGTTTGTAATGTTTTTTGCTATTCAGTCTTTCTATCTTCTGTTTCTTTGCTAGTAAATGTATGGGTTAATGGAAATATGAATAACACAAGGAGATTAACAAACTTAAGTTATGAATAACGATTTGGTAGAAAATAAGGAGATTAATGCTTTATGTTTTAGATTATTGCAATTTATGTTTAAGATTCAACCTTTGCATCATCTTACTATCTTAAAATTGTTTCGTAATGATAACAGGAAACTTCTTGGCCGTTGGTTCAATGGGACCATCGATAGAAATTTGGGATCTTGATGTTGTAAGTGTATAAATGTTGCTGCACTATCCTAAAGCTCCTAAGCTTAAATGGAGGGTTTTTTTTGGGTGCAGAATATGTTGTAATTTTCTTTTGTTCTCAGATTGATGAGGTAGAACCATGTGTGGTGTTAGGTGGCAAAGAGCAAAGCAAAAAGGGGAAACATGGGAAAAAGGTTTGTTATACATCCTTGTTAATCAATCAGCATAAAGTTACTTGCTTACTAAATTGTATATCCCAACAGAAGCTTTTTAAGCTAGATTTACTCCTCTCATTATTATTGTATTTAATCCTTTTAGATTTAAAACAAATATTTTTAGCAATTTCTTTTTATTAAAATTTGATTTCAATCTATCATTTGAATCTCTTCAACTGATTTTGCAATTTCTTTCGTAAAAGAAATCAATAAAATACAGAGAGGACAGTCACACTGGCTCAGTACTTGGTCTTGCTTGGAACAAGGAGTTCAGGTTTGTTAGATTTGGATTCTGCTTTATTTTCTCTGTTCTCCGCTTTCAGGGAACATAATGGTTTTTTTTTTACAATTTTTTTATCTCCCTTCCTTGACACCTCAAGTTTGACAAATATTCTTAAAAATTACAGCAATCTACTTGCAAGTGCTAGTGCTGACAAGAGCGTAAAAATTTGGGATGTCGTCGCTGGAAAGTGTACTCTTACAATGGAGCATCACACTGACAAGGTAAGAATCAATTTACAATGCATATCTTTGATAAGGAAAAAGATGAGACATATTTTTTAGTTAAATTGTAAAATGCAATATTCTTTAAATTCCCATCATTGAATAATTAAAATTGTTTGAGTCAATGTTTTTGCTGATGCCTTTCAACTATCCTCACAGGTTCAAGCAGTTGCTTGGAATCATCATAGACAACATGTTCTTCTTAGTGGCGCATTTGATCATACAGTTGTTTTGGTAATGATCCTATGTTTTCTTGTTACTTGGCCTTTATATTTAGTACTGATTACTTATTATACTTCGGAAGTATTAATTTTTATTTAAGATTTCAGCAATTTAATGGTTTTAGTTATATTAAACCTGCAGAAGGATGTAAGGAATCCGTCACACTCAGGCTGTACGTGGTCAGTCGGTGCTGATGTAGAGAGCTTGGCATGGGATCCACACGCTGAGAACCTTTTTGCGGTGCGTTATGATAATTTATGTCCCTTGTGAACTAATTTTACTTTAAATATCTGATAAATTAAACAAACTAGCCTCTTTTTTCTTTTCTGATAAAGATATTATACTAACTTCCCCTTATGTTTTATTTATTTATTTATTAACCAATTCTTTTTCTGTTAGATGAATGTTTACTAATCATGATTTAATTGTCCTGTTAGGTGAGTCTTGAAGATGGTACCGTCAAGTGTTTTGATGTCCGGAATGCCATGTCCAATGTCACATCTGAGCAGAGTGCTACTTTTACACTTCATGCACACGACAAATCTGTTACCTCCCTAGCCTATAATATGTCAGCTCCGAATGTATGTATTTCAAATCTTCGGTGTTATTACAATCTTATTATTTCCTTTAGTTTGACCCTTCCCTGTTGACCCAACCTCATGCAGCTTCTTGCTACTGGATCCACGGATAAAACGGTAATAGTGATGTCAAATTTGTTGTTTTCCTGAATACCGTACGCTGCAGATTGGTATTCATCTTATTTTACTTCTGTTATTTGTCTCAGGTAAAACTATGGGATTTGTCTAACAACCAACCATCTTGTGTCGCAACGAAAGAACCAAAAGCTGTAAGTCCATATTTGATGAATCATGAAGTCTTTTGTTGCATTGGCACTGACGGTTTTTTTGCTCTCGGTGTTTGTTAGGGGTCTGTCTTTTCTATCTCTTTCGCAGAGGACAACCCATTCTTGTTGGCAATAGGAGGCTCAAAGGGAAAATTAGAAGTAAGTGAAAAGAGAAGACCTTTAACTTTGGTATTCTCAATAGTTCCCTCTTCGAAATTGATACTAATATCTAGCTATGTTGCAGTTATGGGACACCTTAGTCAACGAAGGTGTCTCTCGAAGATATGAGAAATACAGCAGGAACCAACCCGCTTAAGATGCATATTTTGTTTCTTTTTACTATATAATGAGCTTCAATGCTTTTTGTAGTTTAGGAGTATTTAAATTTTGGAAGGTTGTATTATTAAGGATGGACTGTTAGAGTTTGGCAGTGGTGTTCTGTCCTTCATTATATTTATCATAGGTTTTGAAAACTGTGACAGTTGCAATTAAGGATAGATTTTTAGGAATGTTTGACTTTTATTTAATCCCATTTAAATACACTAAGGGATGAAGTTGATGAATAATGAATGTTATGTTTGACTTTTATTTAAATGCATTTAAATACACTCAATGGCAAAATTATTTGACATCCGTTTTTTTCCATTTTTTACACTCCATATCATCTTCTCTCTCTTCCACCTAATAATTCAACCCTAACTTTTATTCACTACAATAGTTTTGTTTAATTAAATTCAACACTTTATCCCATCACTTTTATTTCATATTTTTATTTTTCTTTTTTATGTTTTTGTTTTTTTTATTATAAGAGAGTTATTGTTGGGATTCTTTTCACTAAAAAATTGTTTAGAGTTACAAACAATAATTTATTGGAGGTTAAATAGAAAATTTAGAGAGAAAAAATAGATTTTTTTTTGTCCAAATCAAACGAACTAAGACTCTACTTATAGACAAAAAAAAATGATAAATTTTGGTGAAAATAAAAATAAATAAAAAATTTACTTTCTAGGAATGTTTGACTTTTATTTAATCCCATTTAAATACACTAAGGGATGAAGTTGATGAGTAATGATGTTTATGTTTGACTTTTATTTAAATGCATTTGAATACACTCAATGACAAAATTATTTGACATCTGTTTTTGGTTTTGTTTTTTGCACTCCACATCATCTTCTCTCTTCCACCTAATAATTCAACACTCTTTTAACTTTTACTCACTACAATAGTTTTGTTTAATTAAATTCAACACTTTATCCCACCACTTTTATTTCATATTTTTATTTTTCTTTTTATTTTCTAGGAATGTTTGACTTTTATTTAATCCCATTTAAATACACTAAGGGATGAAGTTGATGAGTAATGATGTTTATGTTTGACTTTTATTTAAATGCATTTAAATACACTCAATGATAAAATTATTTGACATCCGTTTTGTTTTTGTTTTTTACACTCCACATCATCTTCTCTCTTCCACCTAATAATTCAACACTCTTTTAACTTTTACTCACTACAATAGTTTTGTTTAATTAAATTCAACACTTTATCCCACCACTTTTATTTTTTATTTTTATTTTTCTTTTTATGTTTTTGTCTTTTTTATTATAAGAGAGTTATTGTTGGGATTCATTTCACTAAAAAATTGTTTAGAGCTATAAACAATAATTTATTGGAGGTTAAATAGAAAATTTAGAGAGAAAAAATAGATTTTTTTTGTCCAAATCAAATGAACTGCGACTCTATTTATAGACAAAAAAATGATAAATTTTGGTGAAAATAAAAATAAATAAAAAAATTATTTTCTATAAAATAATTGACTCTAAATAATTTAGGTGAGATAAAAATATAAATAATCACAACAATCAATTATATTTTGTAAAATATTATAAGTGGCTCCGCTCATTTCTCATTCAATACGTTGAATGTTTTCAATACAAACTAATCCATGTTATATTCCACTGCAATTAATTGGTTGTTCTTGGATGATATGAAATTTTGTGAAACAAATTGAGAATGATTTCTAACCAACATACTATATATTTTATATAATCTTCTTAAAATATTTAATATAATCTTTTTTATATATCATTGTTAAATTATATATATATATATATATATATATATATATATATATATATATATATATAATCTTTAATTTTATTAATATAAACATAAAATAGGTTTTTTGAACTAGTACCATCACTACGTTGTTTTGACATTTAATGCTGGTGATGTGTCAATACAATAGATTTTTACAATATTTTTTATTTTTTTAATCACTAATAATCACTAATTAACCCTAACAAAGCTGTCCATAATTGTTGGTTATTGGAACCGATTCATTTCATTAAATGTGTATAGAATTGGATATTAGGTTTTGAAAAGGCTGTTATAATACATTGGGTTTTAAAAAGGCAATAACAAATACCACAACTTTTCATATTGTATCATTATGTTTTCTTTTTCGTTCAAAAACCTCTCTTCTTCGAACCTATAACTTTCCATTCAAATCCATAACTTTCCAAGTTTCTATCTTTTCTTGTAAAACATAAATATATGCTTCCATCTCCTTTTCCGATTAATGTTAGAAATGTGGCACATATTTTTTATTTTTTGATTGTCGTTTTCTATTTGCTTTCCTTGCTTTGGTTATATTGAAAATGCTTGATTTACAGTAATAAGTTTTCTATAGTTGATCAATTTTGTTATGTAATTGTTTCGAATGATTGATTTGATATGGGTTTTTCAATTTTTTGAATTATTTTGTGAATTTTTTAGTTCAAAATATTAAATTGGCTACTGCTATTTTAGGGTTTTAATTGAGGGTGTGTTTGGTTTCAATTTTTATATGAGACTAATTTATTTTTGGGTTACGGGAAATGGATGAAGCTGAAGAGAAGCTGAAGACCGAGATAGAAAATATTCGTAATTGTTTTTGCTACTGTTCTGGATAAAAATGAGTTTTAATTTTTTAAATTTAATTTGAGGCTTTCAGGATTCAAGAAAGATGAACAAATATTTGGAGGTGAAATTGTTAGCAAAGTATGATGCTAATTGCGAATATTAATTCTTTTCTATTTTAGTTATTCATAGATGATTTTATCTTCTGATTTTGATGTTTGTTATTATTCAACTTTGATGTCGCAGTTGTGGTTTCTCTTTTGATATCGTTGATCCAATATTTGACTTGGGTTTAACGGTAGAAGATGTGAATACCGTTCAAAGAACTTTGGATGCTTATATCATGGTAGAAAGTATGGATGGGATTTTTAAATGTAGTGGCTGCGACTAAGATGTATACACGGAGAAACAACTTTTGATTGATATAACACTAGAAATTCCAGTACTACATTTGAGAAAGTTTAAAATGGACATAGCATATTATGGAAAGATTGAAAATCATGTTTATTTCACTATAGTTGGATTTGGAGCCTTATATCTCTGCAGGAAAAATGTAAGTTCATAAATCATTTTATTCCCTCCTGCATTTATTTTCAATTTTTCTGCAGGTATTTCAAATTCAATTATGTTACATCCAATTATAGTTTTATATTGTGGTTTCCATGTGATTACACTCCAAACAATTATTTATATTAGGCTGCAATTACAATTTATACTGTAATAACTATCCCAATTTCTCCATTCAAATTTGATGTTTTTTTACTCATTCTTATGTAACAGCCAAACTTGATGTATGATCTATACGCAGTTGTTGTGCATAGCGAATACACAACTAATTCAAGGCATTACTTTGACTATGTGCGTTCTGATGAAAAAGCTTGACATTTGATGGATGACTCTGACGTAAAATATCAATGGAAGTTTCTTCCTATAATATAGTTTTCCTGTTATACCTATTTATATAGGCTGTGTTTGAAAATAAAATGAGTCATTATATGATTCATTCCTCAACTCTTATATATTTTAATTAGAGCAAGTGATTCTAACCAAGGTGGTTCTAACCAACTATACAATCATAATCATTTATGATTCAAGTACCTGGGTAGCCGTTACCAAGAGTAAGAATCTAAACAATCATTGATGATCTTGAGTAACTACCATAATCACTATCCTCAATGTCATAATTTATTTATTTTGAATTCTGAAAGTTAACTGAATGCTCATTGTACATCATTATGTTAACTATGGTCAATGAAATTCATTGTTGTGTTATTGGGAGTTTTGGGCAAGTATTTCTTCCTGCAATTAGTAAGGGTCAATGAAATTACTAAGTATGATGCGTTCAACTTTTGCTGTTATTATTAAGTGAATTTTGAATATAGAACTGAAAACTGAGAATACAGGTAAGATGGTTTTTAAGTTTTCTAAAGGCTGAAACTTTATTATTTAAAATGTTCCTCTATATTGTTAGAGATATAATAATATAAAATTTAATCTAAGTTTTGCATTTAATTTATTGTATTTTATACACTATTTCTATTATACTGATAAAGAGATATGACTATAATTTGTTGGGATTTTTTTCATGTGAGTATATTATAACATGTTTGTATGGATTTGCTTGAACAAAAAATCCTTGGATAACTTGCTAATAAGATTCCATTAAAGTTCAAATAGAGAAAGTGAAGTTGGATCAATTTAACATCTATTGCCATGTTACTTATGCACTTCCATTATTTTAATTCTTTTTTGGTTATATTTTTTGTCGTTTAGTTTTCAGTTTCATATTTTAATTTAGTATGAAATATTTCTAAATATGAAGTGTCTAATGGCTCAATACATAAATAACCTTAACAATTTAATATTAGAACAGTTAGACAATGATTATTTTCAAAGAAACTGGTTTTAGTTAGATGACAATTATCTCTTAACAATCAAACTGTAAAAATAAGTTTTAGATGATAGTACTTTTGTTGGAATGGTGAAATTTATTTGGATTTTCCTTGATCTCGTGTGAAAGATTGTTATAAGTGCAACAAAGCTTTATGAGTAAGGTTTAAAAAAGGACATTTGTTCACAAACTGAAATTAATTGTTTTTAATAAAGAAGCTAGGATTCCTACTTACATATATCAGTAGTTTTTTTTGTTGTAATGAAGCTTATTTAATTTTCTCAAAGAATTTTCATTTGGATGTCCAACTACTTAGTTTAATACTCTTACAAGTTTTTGGATCTATTATTGTTGAAGTATGATAGCTTATGTACCTATTATGCTAATAATACTTTCTCGCAGTGATTCGTCATGACAGTTACTATGGATCAAATGTCTTTTTTTATTTATTTCATCTCCTTCATATTTGTCATATGTTGTAGTTGGATGATGTTGACAGATTCGTTTGGCCCTTTTCGAGTCTATACAAAGGTGGATACAATACCTGTTCCAGATATAGAAATTGGTGTATGTTTTTCTTTGGCTAGTATTGGATTTGTTATCGTTACTGCAAGTATTGATGTAAGTTATCAAATAATTACTTTTTTTCCATGGTGTTAAATCACCAAAATTTAATAAGAGAGAATGTTGATTATGTTGTTATCATTATTTAAATTATTGAGTAACAACAACTTAATACTTATTGTAGGGAGATGAATGTCAATAACTTGGAGAAAACACTCACTTTTTTGATTGCAAGCTAATTGATTTCTTACCCTTCACATGTGATGGACGCAATCAGGTTTCCACGTTTCTCTTACTCATTTTATCATTACTTCTTAATTTTCAACATTGACTTGTGATTATATAATTAAATTTTACATTGACGTTTGATCTGTTTGGTGTATGACTTTGATTTCTTACTATAACGGTTGCAGCTCTATCAAAAAACACTTCTAAGAACTGTGCAATTTTCATTGAACATCTTAGAAGGGGTTCCGTTGAATATCACCTTTGATGCAATTTCAGGTTCCACGAATGAAGTGAAATAATATTTTATCAACCTTCTCACGTAGTCTAATTTTAGTTGTTCAAATCACCTTTTGTATTCTAAGTTATTTTAAATTGTATTATAGCAACTGATATGTGAATTCCTTATGATAAGAGGTGTCTCAATGTCTCAACTCTCAAGTAGTTATAATATGTGTGTCTTTTTGAGAACTACTTTAACTGAGACAATGTATTGAAGTAGAGATTTATCTATTATTCTGCTATTTGTCTATAACAATAAATGTTTTTGATTTAAAGATATAATTTGTTAAGAAGTTAATACTAGAAGCTGGTGGTGGTTGTTCTAGAACAAGAATTTTTTTATATCAACAACCTCTCATAAAATGAATCTTCTAATGCAAACTGTGACTATCGAGAAAGGTACATCAATGCATTCAAATAGAGCGATGCAACTTTGGATGCAGTTTCAAAGAAATCCTGAAGTAATTTTGGATGTTGCATGCATCTTACACTACATGGAATTAGTAGAAAAAATTATATTTGGTTTATCTATTACATTGTAGACCAAAGTTAAATATACTGAATTTCCACGTTAATATCTCATTTATATACAAATAAAAGAATACTTTGACATATATGTATAGATTTGGGTCAACCAACTCCAACTACAACTTCAACTACTCAGCATATAACTTCTCTATATTTAACCAAATCTTCGTTTTTCATATGGTATTTTGTTAATGTTATTTGACTTTAAATAAATGTATCTTAATCTAATCCCAGTTTGAGTGATATAACAACTCTTAAATATGCAATAGTTTGATAAGGCAATATCATTCAAAGACAATTTTCCTTTTTGCGTATTAATATTTTGAGTGTTTCCCTTCTCTGAGAACTAATTTTATATAGTAGTACATCTTTTTTAATTGTTCGTTAATATTTCATGTGTAATAAAAAATTTATTTGTATGATTATTCTAATACTATTAGTTTTTTTTTTATGATGATTGTTCATTACACAGTTAAGTATATCAATTCATATTTACAAAATTGTTAGGTAAATAAATTGTATTGTGGAGTTCCTTAAGAAATTAAATTTTCAAGTAATAAAGATACTATTTGAATTTGAAATTTATTTTTATTAACTTGGAATGTATTTTAATGTTTATGTAAATTAAAACAACATTAAACTACTCAATTGATTTTAATAAACTATATTAAATATTTATTTTTAATTTGAAATTTTTATTTAATAATATTTAATTATATAATTAAATTTGTTTTTAATCTTTTATATATATATATATATATATATATATATATATATATATATATATATATATATATATATATATATATATATATATATATATATATATATATATATATATATATATATATATATATATATATATATATATATATATATATATATATATATATATATATATATATATATATATATATATATATATAACGATTTTTGTCATTTTATTAATCATGAAATACAATTTTAAAATTCATATTTTTTAATTAAATTTTAGAATTTTTTAATAAAATTTGATTAACATTAAAGACTTAATACTTTTTTGGACAAGTATATTAATCTAAGGGTTCTTTTTATTTCTCAATTTAACTGCGAAACATTTCTCATCCTAATGAAGATCCTTTCAGGTATAAATTCACTGATAGATGTGAACGTATCTATGAAATATCGACTGTAGACTGTTAATTTTAATGTCCCTCTTTGTAATATTTCTTTTGCTACTATTTTATATAATTGAATTTATAGAATCAATTGTACCTTTTATTATAAGTACAAATCAATGTTTAAAAGTCGATATATATTATTAGCCTATATTTGAAACTATGTAAATGTTAACTAACTGAATAAACAAAGATAAACTTTATAAATGATGGTTTAATAGACATGTAATATGAGCGCAGACAGAATCCGTTAGCACAGATTTCTTACGAATATATATATATATATATATATATATATATATATATATATATATATATATATATATATATATATATATATATATATATATATATATATATATATAAGCATATTAGATAAGACTCAACTAAGTGTTCAATTTTATTTTTTAAGTTTACTAAATTTTTTTATCAACTAGTTTAGTGACTAGTACTGAAATTTAATGATGAATAAATATAATTTAATTTATTTATTTTATATATTTGTAATGATATAACCAAAAATAAATAAATATTCAAAAATGTTAATGTACTACTATAAAATAAAAATTTAACATATGTCTTTAGAATAAATAGACTCGATTGATCTTTTAGTCATTAACAAAATTATTTGATTCACGTTACTTCCATAATCAATAAAATTATCTTTTGATATCTTAAATATATATTTTTACCCTACTTGAATTTTTAGTTAATTTTATTTAAACAACAATAAATTTGTTGGATATATGAATTAACATATAAAAGAAGACAATAAAGTTGCACACGCTTTAACAGTAGCAATTGGTAAACCATCCAAGGAAAATACTGACGATATTACCCTCACCTTTGAAAAGAAGCGTGTGTAACACTCCAATCTACCCGGCAATTATGAATGTAAATCAGAGTTTTAAAATTCATACAACTGAATCTGGATGTCACAAATTCAACTTTTAAAACACATTGCATTCAACATGGATACATAACACTTTAAATTTCAGATGAACCAACAACAGAATAATTTAATCTCTTAATTCAACAACTTGAACAACTACACAGCAGAATCATAATAACGTCTTTGTCCAACAATTACAGCAACTTCAAAATAACACATACTTAGCAATAATCAAATTAAAGTTCAACAACTGAAATAATCAATAATTAAAAGAAACAAATGTTCATCCCCCCGAGTGTTATGTATCAAAGCAATGACACCGACTCGAACTACCGAAGGTATA